GTCATTAGCATGTAAATGGTAGTTGAAATTAAAGAAATGAATGAGGCTGCTCCAGGAAAGTGTAAGGCATGGTCAAGAGCAGAGAAATAGGGGTGCCTGGGTGGCTCAGTTGGTTAAAGCACCCAACTTTGGGCTCAGGTTATGATCGCATGGTCCGTGAATTCGAGACCCACATCAGGCTCTGCGCTGACAGCTCAGAGCCTGAAGCCAACTTCCAATTCTGTGTCTCCCTCTCTCTCTCTACCCCTCCCTTGCTTGTGCTCTGACTCTGTCTCTCTCTCTCAAAAATAAATAAATAAACATTAAAAAAAAAAGAGAAATGAACTGTATGGGACACCCATGTTTTAGGGGTTAGGTAGTGAGAAAAGAGGGAAAAAACCATTAAATGGATCGAGAGGAACTAGAGTAAGAAGATAAGTTCAAAAAAGTTGAATTGTGAAAGGGGGAGATAATAGTAGTTAAATGTGTCAGAGGATACAGGTGTGCACACAAGAGTCTTTCATTTAAGTGGGACAGGCTCAAAATGTTTATGTGCTGGTACCAAAGAATCTGTAAAGAAGGAGAGGTAGAAAACTCTGGAAGGAACAAGTAACTGATGACACAACAGAGGGGGGAGCCTAGGCTTACTTTACTTAGCTTTAAGTTCCCAGAGAGTAGGGCAACTGCTCAGTTCCTACACTTGCTGGTAGGGCTATACCTACATTTACAACTCTTACTGGAGCACCTACACCCAAATCAATTCCCTGTCCAGTCATGGACAGTTGCCCTCCCCACCTCATTTCCCCATGATGGTCATGCTCTGTTCTAACCACATCCTCTGAATGACCCAGTATGGTGGAGGACAGACCTAACGAGTCTGGATTCTGAATTTAGATTCTCCCAATAGTGACTGTCATCCATGATACCAAAGAGATATTTAGAAAACAAACAAAACAAAAAACAAATTTATTCTCAATCAGAAGATCAGGATTGTAACTATTCTAAAGTAGAAATATATTCAATAATCCTTTCAAGTGAGAATTTCTTGAATGATGTGGCAAAGTTGGAAACATCTTTCAGTGTAATTTTCATTTTCTTCCTCAGAGCACAGAAGAACTCAGTAGCTGTCCCTCCCACCTGGTAGTGATACTGAACCATACTTTCCAAACCGTTTCTCAGAACCTCAGTGTTCTGTGGGATGGCTGATGAGTTTTTATTTCCCAATCTGAGAAGCCTTATTTATTTTTTTTTTTAAATATGATCTTTTATCTACTATATATTGGTGCTCCATGAACATTTACACTTAGAGTTGTCATTCTGATTAAAAAAAAAAAAAAAGCAAACAAACAAACAAATGAAAGAACAAACAAAAAAACAGAGGGGAGCCTGGATGGCTCATTCAGTTAAGCTTCCAACTTCCGCTCAGGTCATGATTTCACTGTTCCTGAGTTCGAGCCCCGAGTCTGGCTCTCTGCTATCAGTGTGGAGCCCGCTTCAAATCTTCAGTCTCCCTCTCTTAGCCCTCTGCTTGTACTCCCTCTCTTTCAAAAATAAATCAACTTAAAAAAAGGGATTTTGAAAAGTACTACCTAAATAAGAAATACATACATTTATAAATATTTACCTTATGATATAGTAAATAAAATACATTTGAAAATTTGAAATGGGTGATACATTTTACTTCAGAACTATAGTCTTATATTAGAATAAATGTTAGAACATAAGTATCATAAACAATTTTTTTCTTTTAAAAAAAAATCTATCCTACAGCCTAGGTCACAAAGAGGGACTTTGCTCAAAAGGGAATCAGGCAGGATGAAGGGGAAGGTGGAAACTAAAGCAATCTGAATAACTAGCATTGATTAAGCCTCTATTCTGAGCCAGACACAGTACAAGGCTCTGTGTAGACCAAGGGTAACCCACACATATCTGGTCATTGCACTCTGGAGCCTGCTATCTAATTTGGGAGATGAAATTAAACAGTGAAATCCCAACTCTACACAGAATAACACAGTCAAATGAATTCTGTGAAGGAAAAGAGTGAGAAAACAGGAGCAAATTTTTAAGGATGACTCCAAGAAATTGGCATTTAAGCTTAAAGAACTTAATAGAGTTGCTAATGATCCCTACAATGGCAATATGAAAATGTATCAAATTAAATATTGTACACCTTAAATTTACACAATGTTATATGTCAAATATACTTCAGTGAAAAAAGAAGTTTAAGGAGACAGAGTGAAAGGGAGGAAAAGTGTTGTTAAAAATAAATAAATAAATAAATAAATAAAGCCATCCCTAAATCTGACCAAACCAATTTACAATAAATACAGAAGATAGAAGGATAGGCTAAATGGAATAACAAATGAAATTAGCAAAATCCAGATAGGAGTCTACAGGAAATTCACATAATTCTTTAAACAATAGCAAGAAAAACAAAAACTTGTAAGAAAAATTAAAGATAAGAGAATTTACAGATTGGTATGTCATTCAAAATAACCTAGGCGAGAGGGACTAGGTAGTGGTTTAGATAAAATCAAATCGGCTGTGGGGCGCCTGGGTGGCGCAGTCGGTTAAGCGTCCGACTTCAGCCAGGTCACGATCTCGCGGTCCGTGAGTTCGAGCCCCGCGTCGGGCTCTGGGCTGATGGCTCAGAGCCTGGAGCCTGTTTCCGATTCTGTGTCTCCCTCTCTCTCTCTCTGCCCCTCCCCTGTTCATGCTCTGTCTCTCTCTGTCCCAAAAATAAATAAAAACGTTGAAAAAAAATTAAAAAAAAAAATAAAATCGGCTGGAAGTCAACAGTTGTTGAAACTGGATGATGGAAACATGAGGTTTCGTGGTAATGTCTGCTTTTGCACATGTTGGGACTTTCCCATGGTATAAAATTTTCAAAAAACAGGAGGGAAATCTAAGAAATAAATATATTGTAATAAATGCTAAATATGGTAATAAAATTGTCTTTCCCCTGGAAGTCCTGCCCTAGCCTAAGACACTGGTATCAGTTCAGGCTACTAAGGGCACTACCCTTCTAAACCAGCCAGAAAAAGCCTATCAGGTGGGGGTCACACCCGTGTGGGTAGATGAGTACTTTCTTGGCCTAATTTCCAAGGGCTGATTCACTCTCCATCCTGGAAGGGAGGAGCCAGGATTCCAACCATTATCTGCCTAATCCAAATGCATTTGGTCACACCCTCCTCTAATGAAGGCTTCTAGACTTTAGGTGCAAATGAATTACCCTAAGGGCTTGTTGAATTCTGAGTCCTGCCCTCAAGGATCCAGTTCTGGAAGGCGTCAGTAAACTGAAGCTGAGACCTTGCAGACCACACTTTAAATGTATAAATTGATCTGGGCTTAGTGGGTCCTAAGACTGATGGACCGGACCATTTTACTAAGGAAGGAGAAAGCCCAAAGAGAGACCAATGGATGCCGGTACTGCCATACTGTTTGTGAATATTTTCCTTTAATAGCTCTGGCTTCTTAGAGTGACCTATGAAAACATCTGTGACTTTTCCAGCCTCATCTCTTATCCCATCCTGCCTTGTCACATCCTGCCTCCAGCACTATGCTCCAGCAATTTCCAAGTGCTTGCAGTTTTTTCTGCATTTATTTGTCCATCATTTGCCTTAGTGTTTTCTGTTTGTTTGTTTTGTTTTTATTTTTTGAGAGAAAGCGTGAACAGGGGAGGGGCAGAGAAAGAAGGGGATAGAGGATCCAAAGTGGGCTCCCTGCTGACAGCAGTGAGCCCCCTGTGGGACTCAAACTCATGAACAGTGAGATCACGACCTGAGCTGAAGTTGGTCACTTAACCGATAGAGCCACCCAGACGCCCCTTGCTGCTTGTGTTGTAAACAGCCAAATCCTTCCCTGTACCCAGCTCACCAGTAATGCAGATTTAATATTTGTGTTTAGAACTTGATCCGGGAGAGATTGTTATCCACCCCCTACAATTTAAATCTAATCTCCCAGTGAACGACACACCCATGGGCATAAATCAGTTATAAAATACCTCTGATTCTATTTTTTTACTCCCTCCATAATAACATCATTCAATCCAAAATCAATATTGTCCTAGAAATGTTTTAAAAATATATTTTTTGATTCAGTTGCAACTTGTTAGCAAGAATTTGTCACGTCTAGTTTCTCCCACATCTCACCTTAAAATAATAACAAAGATTTTATTCTATTTTTTTTTTTTTAAGTAAACTCTACGTCCAACATCTGGCTTGAACTCATGATCTCAAGATAAAGAGTCACAGGCTCTACCTATGGAGCCAAGCGGCTGCCCCTAAAAATCTTATTTAAAAAAAAAAAAAAATCTTAGGAGTGATATTCATTACCCAACAGCTCAACTGTCACATAATGGACCAAAGGGGAGTGCAAAACTGATGAAATTATTACACTGTCAGATAATGAGGGAGGGGAAGAAGAGGAGGAAGGAAAACCCCCCTCTTCTGGGAAACAGGAAGTAGACAGAGACATTTGCTTATAAAAGGAGAAATCAGGCTGGAAGCCCCCAGGTGAAAAGGAGTGAAGGGCCGGTGAACCAACCTTGCAGGCTTCACCTTCCCCTAAGTATTCCTGGAAATGGCGTACTCGAGTTATGAAAACAGCGCTCAGGTAGGTTTCGTTCCCATAGAATGGATTTTCCTACAGATTCATTTTTCAAAGTCTTTCTAGAGCTTGCTTATGTTTACTTCATGCCATGGGACTTCGTTTCTGAGGGTAAGAAATCTCCATCTTGGAGTCCCTCCTCTTTGTAAGTGGATTATTACTTTTCTTACCCACGATTGTGGCTCTGTGTCTATTTGGGTCAGAGTGACCCAAATACGTTCCCAGGCCAACGTAAGGGATGTATTCTGTAGAAAGACATGTTGCAGCTGGGCAAATGGAAAACCTAAAGAAACAATAAAAAGAATAAAAAGAAAGTGAGAAAGGGTATTGTGGATGGGGTCAGAAAGTGAAGTGACCAATTTGGTTTCTTCCCTTGGGGAGTTTCTCCTACTCCCAAATATTAAGTATACGGATGACCGGCAAGTCATATCGCTGCTTTGAGCCTCTCAGACTCCACTCTCTGGAGTGGAGTAATATTCCCCTAATAACTTTTTTTTGAAGCTGACCAGTGAATGTGCATGGGAGTGCCTTGAAAAAGTGTTACACAAGGGTGTCTGTCTGGGTCAGCTGGTAGAGCGAGAGATCTTTGATCTTGGGGTTCTAAGTTTGAGCCCCACTTTAGGTGTAGATATTACTTAAAAATAAAATCTTGGGGAGTCACTGAGGTGGCTTAGTGGGTTAAGCATCTGACTCTGGCTCAGGTCATGATCTCGCAGTTCCTGGGCTCTGTACTGACAGTTCAGAGTCTGGAGCCTGCTTTGGATTCTGTGTCTCCCTTTCTTTCTGCTCCTCCCCGGTGCGTGTGCTGTCTCTCTCAAAGATAAATAAACATTAAAACAAAAGCTTAACGGTGTTATACATATGCAGGATGAGAGTATGAGCAATGGGAAGCCATTGAATCGGAAATAGGGGGAAGGGCATGGCCCCTTCAGATCTACTTGGCTGTTCTGAGAAGCAAGTATTGCAATGGGACTGGGATGGAGTTTATTCACCTTTGGATCTGAGAGGAAAAGCTCAGTTCAGAAACTTAAGCACATGTTACTCTGACATTGTTCACTTAATTTTTGAGACTCAGTTGCCTAATTTGTAAAGTGAGAATACTGATAAATTATTGTACATGTGCTGTGAAGATTAAGTGAGAGAAATACAGAAAGCACGTAGTGCGGTGCACATGTACTGGACAAAACCGGTAAATGTCACTTCCTTCCTAACTGGGCGTTGGATGTGTTGCTGCGATTGCAGCAGAGAGTAAACTCTCTGGTCGGGTTGAAATAAAGCCAGTATGCCTGGAACTTAGAAAGCTCAGGGGTCTTGAGCTAGAGTGGCAGGCAGGGGTCAGACTACAGAAATTTGTAGGTCATGCGTGGCCGTTTTTGATAAGCCATTGAAGTGTTTGGCACTACTCTTGATTTCGGCTCAGGTCATCATCTCACTGTCTGTCCCCGCTTCTGGCTCCATGCTAAATGGATAACCCACTTAAAAGTCTCTCTCTTCCTCTGCCCCTCCCCTGCGCGCGCGCTCTCTCTCTCTCTCTCTCTCTCTCTCTCTCTCTCTCCTAAAAAAAGAAAAAAAAAAAAAAGGCAGGAGAGCAATCTGCAGAAAGAATGCCGCTTAGAGTAATAGGGAATTATTGCATCTATCAGTGAGAGTTGATGATAGCTGGAATTGGGAATCATCAGGAATCATGATAGAAGATGGGAAGGCAGGAACACATTCCATATAGTTTTAGCAGATAAAATAAAAGTGTTTTAGTGGAGGGAGAGGAAGGCCTGGAGGGAGATGGTTTCCCTAAGCTCAAGACATATCCTTTCATCTACACCCATCTGTACATCTACTTTTGTCCATTTTCTCATTGTTTGTCTGGCATTTATGTATGTATGTATGTATGTATGTATTTATTTATTTATTATTTTAAGTAATCTCTACACCCCATGTAGGACTTGAACTCACAACTCCAAGATCAAGAGCCACATGCACCATGGACTGAGCTAGCCAGGCACCCCTGTTTCTCTTATCTAATAAAGGGTCTGCTAATCAACATCAAATTCAGGGAATCACCATAAGTTTGCTCTCTAGCCACCTACTGGCTTCTGAGTTTCTTATCAATTGTGCTCTGAAAATAAGCAGTTTAGGCATATGGCATCCAATGAGACTCTGTGGTTGACCTTTCCCTTTACAGAATTTCTCCGAGGAGGCATTAGAGGAAGAAACTGTGGTTCTCACATTGGTTCCAGTTAATGAAGAAACTAATGAAGAACATCAGGTGGAACCAAGTGTTTCCTCAACTTCAGAAGTTGGCCTGGAGATGCCTGGGACAAACGATAAAGGTATGAGGACAGTGATTGCTCAGTTTGCTGCTCCCCCAGCTCTGGGAAGCCCAGGGAAAAGATTTCTCCTTTTTTTCCTTAAATCTCACCTTGAGTATCTGTGGTAAGAGAGCTCTCAAACTCCTAGACTTCATTTATTAGGCACCATGACTTGCTCTTAAGACACAAAAATGGGTGTGTGAAGTGCCTTGGACAGAGCATGGTCTTCTAGTCAGCAGACTATGAATTCAAATTCCCAACCTATAGAGCTCAATCTTCTTTCATTTTGGTTAATGCATACTTTAAATACCTCTCGTAAAGACTAAATTGTTTTTTTCCAGCGTCGAGATATAATCAACATCTAACCTTGTATAATCTTAAGGTGTACAATGTGGTGATTGATACACATTTGTATTGCAAAATGATTACCAAAATAAGGTTAACGAGCACGTCTATCACCTCACACAGTTACCTCCCCCCACCCCCACCTTGTGGTGAAAACATTTAAAGATACTCTCAGCAATTTTATTTTATTTAAGTTTTATCTTGAGAGGGAGAGAGAGAATCCCAAGCAGGCTCCGTGCTGTCAGTTTTGGGCTCTATCTCATGAACCATGAGATGACCCACGCCAAAACGAAGGTTAGGCGCTGAACTGACCGTGTCACCCAGGCACCTCTACTCTCAGCAACTTTAAAATATACAGTGTATGGGACAGTTGGGTGGCTCAGGTTATGATCTCAAGGTTCGTGGGTCAAGCCCTGCATTGGGCTCTGTGCTGACAGCTCAGAGCCTGGAGCCTGCTTCAGATTCTTTGTCTCCCTCGCTCTCTGCCCCTCCCCTGCTCAGACTCTGTCTCTCTCTCAAAAATAAATATTAAAAACATTTTTTTAAAACATACAGAATAATATTGTTAACAATAGTCACTATGCTGGGCCCCTGGGTGGCTCAGTTGGTTGAGCATCTGACTCTTGATTTTTGTCTCAGGTCATAATCCCAGGGTTGTGGGATTGGGCCCCATGCAGGACTGTGCACTGAGGGTGGAGCCTGCTGGAGAGTCTCTCTTTTTCTGTTTGTCTCTCTGCCCCTTGCCTCCTCCCCTTCTTGGGCTCTCTGTCTAAAAACAAAATAAATCTAAAAAAAAAAAAAAAAAGAATTAAAAAAACAATAGTCACTATGCTGTACATCAGATCCCCAGAACTTCTGAACATCTTATAACTGAACATTTGTATCCTTTGATCAACATTTCCTCCAATTATTAGTATTTTGCTTGATAAGTACTTAGTGACCAAATACCTAGCAGCTCTTAATGTCATGACCCTTTAAATCTGTTCTTAGTGTTTCACGTAAAAGCATCAAATAAGTATTTTCAGAATGATTTTATTTTCTGGACCAAGAATAAGGACTTCAATGCAAAGTAAACAGTGGCAGGTTACACCTAAGCAGAGTGAGGTGAGATGGGATGCTGACCAGGAAAATGAGGTGGGCAGACAGAATGCAGGACCTTTGTTGGTTGGGTGATTTCTTTGATTTCTCTCAGGACAACTGGTATTTTTGTTCAAAATCTAGACATTTTGGAGTAGCAGTCCAATAAATTGTTCTGTCCAGGTGTTTGTTGATGGCAGTAAAAAGTTGTTGTATGTAATGTAAAAAAACCTAGGATTTGGAATTTCAAAATGTAGGTTTGAGTTCCAGGTCTGCCATTTAATGGAGATGTGACCTTGGGTAAGTCCTTTAATTACAGAATCTATTCCTCTACTTGTAATAGAGGGAAATATATATATATATATATATATATATATATATATTGGGTTATGAGAAATTAGCAACAACTTTGTTAAATTATAATCTTAGAAATATTAAATTGTTACTGCTTTCGTTTCCTTCTTTTTTTAGTTTGTCATCTTCAAATGAATGAACAATTCAAGTCTTGTCCAAAACATAGTTGTTGTAATACACTGATCCTTCCCTTGCCCACCAGTTTGCCTCCAGTTAATAAAGTACGTTGGGACACTTTGCGAAACTGGTGCCAACAATTTAATTTGAGTACCGATGGCCGGGTGAGTACACTGTTGGGAGACTCTGCTGCACAAAGTGTGGAAAGCTTTATCAATTTATAATTTTTATTTCCCCTCTTAATTTCCTTAGAAAATAGATGTTTATCTGAGGCTCCAGAAACATGCTTACTCTGAAATAAATGAGGTGAGTAAGAGGTGTGGTGACAATGTTAAGGTGAGTTCTGACTGTGAATTGTCTCTACTCTCCCACCATCTGTATATGTTGTATATGTAAGGCAAGATTTCTCAGCCAGGGTTATTGACATTTTGGATAAAGGAAATGTTATATATATGATACAAAGGAATATTATTCAGCCATAAAAAGTGAAATCTTGCCATTTGCGATAATATGGGTAGACCTAGAGGGTATTGAGTGAAATAAGTTAGACAGAAAGACAAAGGCCATATGATTTCACTTATATGTGGAATCTTAAAAAACAACCAATCAAAACAAAACAGAAACAGACTCATAGATACAGGGAACGATCTGGAGGTTGCCTGAAGGGAGGGGTGCGGGGGATGGGCAAAATAAGGGATAGGAATTGAAAGGTAGTAACTTCCAGTTATAAAGTAAATAAGACATGGGGATGCAACGTACAGCATAAGGAATATAGTCAGTAATGGAGCAACTTTGTATGGTGACAAATGGTACCTAGACTTAATGGTGATTGCTTGGTAATGTATGTAAATGTTGAATCACTGTGTTGTACACCTGAAACTAATATATTATTGTATGTCAACTCTACTTCAATAATAAAAAAAGAAAAAAGACTTGACATTTGGGGCCAAATAATTTATTTGGTGGGGAGGCTGTCTGCTGCATTTTAGGCCTAAACATCCCTGGCCTCTACCCCCTAAATGTCAGTGGCAAGCCCCTCTGCTTCCCCAACCCCTAGTTTTAACAGTCAATAATTTCTCCTAGAAAACTGCTGCTCTAAGGGAACTAACAATCCTAAATCTTTCCCACACTTATATACATGGGCCAATGTATAAAGAATGATAAAATTAACACAAAACACAAAAATCTTTAGGGCAGTAGCACTTCGCTGAATACTCACCATGAATCACCATTTGCAGAATATTCCTAAAATATCACCAGAGGCCCAATTGCAGTCATGTTCGACAAAATGCAAAATGGCAACCAAGAGAGCAAGGATTCGGAAACGTTGTAAGAAGAGTGAAAGAGAGGAAGGGATTAATATAGTTGAAGTGATAACTTCAGCACAAGAAGGCATGTTGGCAGCGTGGTCAAGAATTGCTGCAAGAGCCAGTCAATCCAAGTCTGCGAATTCACGTCCCATTCCTGTTTCCGTTGAGACTTTTCTCCTGCAAGCCTCTGGTAAGATTAACCTGAAAAAAGTGAGCACTGGAGCCCCCAGCTGGCTTAGTTAGTCAGTAGAGGATGCAACTCTTTGATCTCATGGTCATGAGTTCAAGCTCCATGTTGGGCATGGAGCCTACTTTAAAAAGAAAAAAAAAAAAAAAAAAAAGGTGAGTACTATTCCCTAGAAAGAAGGTTAAAGTTTAGGGGTGCCTGGGTGGCTCAGTCTGAGCCTGACTTTGGCTCAGGCCATAATCTCACTGTTCATGAGTTCAAGCCCCACATTGGGCTCTGTGCTGACAGCTTGGAGCCTGGAACCTGCTTTGGATTCTGTGTCTCCCTCTCTCTCTCTCCCACTTGCTCTCTCTCTCTCTCTCTCTCTCTCTCAAAAATAAAAGAAAATTTTTTTTAAGTTAAATTTAAAATTTTATTAGTCTCATACTGAAAGGTAGTAAAAAGGAAAGAGTTAAAATAATGTAGATTGATATTAGACTTATATATGGATTATCTTTTGGTTGCTAGGTAGCCAAGTTTTACCTGGACCAGTGTCTGAGCTAGGTGATTGAGTGCTTACTTTTTTATCATAAACCAAAGTCTGAGGTGGGAAGAAAGCATAATCTGATAATGTGGTCAGCCACAATCTGAGCCTTCCCCTGTCTTTCCCTTCCTCAAGGCCTTTTTTTTTTCTTAAAATTTTTTTCAATATTTGTTTTCTTTTTGAGAGAGAGAGAGAGAGAGAGAGAGAGAGAGAGCAGAAGGGGCAGAGAGAGAGGGAGACACAGAATCTGAAGCAGGCTTAAGGCTCTGAGCTGTCAGCACAGAGCCTGACCTGGGGCTCGAACCCACAGACCTCGAGATGATGACCTGAGCCGAAGTTAGATGCTCAACTAACTGATCTACCCAGGTGGCCCTGTTCCTTGGACTTTTAAACAAAGATCTTTTTGCCTGTTTTGTGTTGTTGAGGAAGTACAGTATAATAGTTGGGCAAATGGGCTTTGAATCAGAATATCTAGATCCATGTCATGGTTCTGGGAAAATTGTAATATTTAACACGATAAGCTTCAGTTACCTCACCTGTAAATAAAAGTAAATAGAAGGTCAATATGAATAATCTTCTTAAGAATAGATGTATTCGTACATGTAAACCACTTAGCAAAATCTTAGACACAAAGCAACCATTCGAAAATATTAATTGTGCCTGGGTGGCCTAGTTGGTTAAGCATCCAACTTTGGCTCAGGTCATGATCTTGCAGTTCATGAGTTGGGCTCTTGGCTGACAGCTTGTAGTCTGGAGCCTGCTTCAGATTCTGTGTCTCCCTCTCTCTCCCTCTCTCTGCCCCTCTCCCACTCGTACTCAGTCTCTCTCTTTCAAAAATAAAATAAAACATTAATTTTTTTTTAAGTTAATTGTCATCCCTTGTGCTACGTAATTTGTGAAGTTAGATTATAGTGTCTTTGGTGGACATTTTTTCATGCTTTTCATTCAGTTGAGTCATCAACAGAATATAAGAGCAAAACCCAGAGTGATGTTCTGAGACCTTGGATTAGCTGTTTATATTTGCTTCTCTTTCCATCCTCAGGTGTCAGGTGGTGTGTGGTCCATGGCAGACCTCTCTTGGCAGACACAAAAGGTTGGGTTCGCCTGCAGTTTCATGCAGGTCAGGCCTGGGTGCCTGACACCCCCAAGAGGATGATTTCTCTCTTCCTGTTGCCCGCCTGTACTTTCCCATCCCCGGGCCTTGAAGATAATATGTTATGCCCTGAATGTGCTAAGAGGTAACCCTTAAGTATTTTTCTAAGTCTGACACACAGAAAAGGAGATGTCTAGATGGGTTTCTGAATAATTTAGTAGGAGAAGGTGGAGGGCCAATATATTATTTTCTTCATTTGCTATATAGATTAGGCAAAAATAGGAAGCAAAAAACATAGTAATGGATTAGAACTCAGATAAATATGGCTTCTTAGAAATCTGAACAAAGTATCCAAGTTGGGACCTTAACTGCCTCCATTTTAGAGATGTATTTTAAGGGAAAAAAAAAGATGTTAAGAATTCACCACATGTCAGATACCTCACTTGTGTATACACAAATATGTAGGACAAAATCCATGTAGCACGCTTGAATGAAAAAGAGTAACGGAGACTGTGAAAATGTATGGGTAGTTATCAGGGAAATGCAAGTCAAAACTACCATGAGATATCACCTCACACTGGTCAGAGTGGCTAAAATGAACAAATCAGGACGCTATAGATGCTGGAGAGGATGTGGAGAAATGGGAACCCTCTTGCACTGTTGGTGGGAATGCAAACTGGTGCAGCCACTCTGGAAAACTGTGGAGGTTCCTCAAAAAATTAAAAATAGAACTACCCTATGACCCAGCAATAGCACTGCTAGGAACCTACCCAAAGGATACAGGAGTGCTGGTGCACAGGGGCACATGTACCCCAATGTTTATAGCAGCACTCTCAACAATAGCCAAATTATGGAAAGAGCCTAATGTCCATCAACTGACGAATGGATAAAGAAGATGTGGCTTATATATACAATAGAATACTACTTGGCAATGAGAAAGAATGAAATCTGGCCATTTGCAGCAACGTGGATGGAACTGGAGGGTGTTATGCTAAGTGAAATAAGCCAGGCAGAGAAAGACAGATACCATATGTTTTTACTCATATGTGTATCTTGAGAAACTTAACAGGAGACCATGGGGGAGGAGGAGGGGGAAAAAAGAGTTATAGAGAGGGAGGGAGGCAAACCATAAGAGACTCTTAAGGACTGAGAACAAACTAAGGGTAGATGGGGGGAGGGGGAGAGGGGAAAGTGGGTGATGGGCAGGGAGGAAGGCACTTGTTGGAATGAGCACTGGGTGTTGTATTGAAACCAATTTGACAATAAATTATATTTAAAAAAAAAGAAAAAGAAAATGTATGGGTAGTACCTACATTGGAGTAGCTTAGGGAAACTTCCCAAGGGATTACATGTACTGAGGAAGAGTTTACCAGTTGGAAAGTAATAATTAGGGCAAACCCCTCATCCAAATACATAGAACTGAAAGAATATGACATACTGAGAAATGGCAAATAGGTCAATATGATTGAAGCTTATATTGACAAAAAAGTCTGCGAAGGGGAGGAGCAGATCATTGTTACTTTTATATCTATATATAAGGTTTCATGTTATCTTGTGGGTTGTAATTTCTTAGTCACTTCTATGACATAGACTCCTTTGAGAATATAACTACCTACTCACCACCCAGAGAAATATATATTGGATACACATAAGCTCTGCTTTAGATTTTATATAGACTGTAGAACTCCTAATGTTGATCTAGGAGTAAAAAATTCAGCTTTTGACAATGGAGCTGGATGGAGGTGATATGAGAAAAGAAAACTAAGGGTTTTTTTAGGAAGTGAATTGAAATCTTGCAACAGAAACTAAATTTGAAGGTAAGAGATTACTATAATAATTCTGGAAAGACAGAATCTATGAGCCTGGCAAAGAATTTAAAGTATAATGGAACAAATATCAGAAATGTAGGAGTAGAGGGAACAGTTGTTGTCTTACTAGATGAAAAGATAGAAAAGTCCAGTTCAGTGGCAAAGGACGGAATACATGGGTCATGCTGGCCATGGGTCTAGAGTTCTGGGAGACATGTAGGCTAGAAAGAAACACATTTGGGAGTCTTTAGCATATAAATTGTGCATGGGAGTATGTAGTGGAAAGAACCCAAAAGAGAATCAGCATGTCAATGGCAGGTGAGCAATGGAGACTGAAGTACAGGTAGAGGCTGAAAGGTAAGTTAAAAGAAAGCAATGGACAAAGAGTTTCAGAAGGAAATGGCCGGCAGTGAGATGGCCATGTAAGACTATGGTTAATGCACTGCTGTTGGGAATGTCAATTTAGGATACCATTGGTGGCCTTTTTGAGAGTATGTTGAGAGAGTCAATAGAAACAGAATAGGGTAGTTACAAATTGGAGTAGAACATGTGAAGAACATAGGAACAGGACATATTAATAATCTGTTCTACCTGAGCTGAGAATGAGATAGTAGTTGAGGCAGCAATATCAAGGGAGCTCGTTTGCTTCCTTCCTTCTTCTTTCCTTCTTTCTTCCTTCCTCTCTTTTGCTTCTTCTTTATTTATAAATGGGAAAACCATGTGATCAAGTGTGAAGAGAAAAGGGGATGTGGGAAGAAGGTACAAGAAAAAAAGGGAACGTGTAAATGTAAAGAAGTGGAACATGGAACCGATTGTAGTGTATAGGATATGTGCCCTGATGTTAAGTGAACAATCCTTCCTTTCTTTACCATGTAAAATCTTACGTGGTAGGGCAAACTACTAAGAAATGCCAGAAGTGGATTCCTGCTTTATTGTGGTTGGTATAGAATGGTCTATCTTATTGTAACAAATTTTCAAAATTCTTTTTCTAACTTTCTTTATAGGAATAAGAAGATAATGAAAAGATTAATTGCAATGGGGAAGGAGAGGCGACGTGGCTTGAATACATCAACATCTTTCCCTTTGAGTGGGCCATATCTTAATAAAGAATAAATGGTGGAGATCCTGTGGCTACTATTGATTTTCATCCCAGTGACTGTCCTGCTCTGTCCTGACCATCCTCAGTGTTGCCTGAGGCCTTGGGCACAGATGTGAGTGTCTAGATTCTGTGCTTGAGGTTTGCCAAGACGTGACTGCTACTGCTACTTCAAGTATTTAGTTATATAGAATATAACTTAGTTCTGTTTTCATTCATAGGTTTTTAAAGTAGTTTTAGGCTTTCAGAAAAAATAGAGCAGAAAGTACAGAATGAAATACTGCCTCAACTCCTTCCCCTGCTACCAAAATCCTTCACCAGAGTGATGCAGGTGTGAACCTACATTGACTTGTCATTATCATGCAAAGCCCATGGCTTACAAGAGGATTCACTTTTTGTGTTGTACAGTCTATGGGTTTTGACAAGTGTATAATGACCACCTACATCCACCATTATGGTGTCATCAAAATAGTTTCGCTACTCTAAAACTTTCATGTTCTATCTACTCAGTAGTCTCTTACCATCAACCCCTGACCACTGATCTTTTTACTGTCTCCATGGCTTTGCCTTTTCTAGAATGTTATGTATTTGGAATCATAAGAAGCCTTTTCAAATTAACTTCTTTCACAGCAATGTGCATTTAAGTTTCCTCCTTTTCATGACTTGATAGCCTACTTCTTTTTGGTGCAGAATATTCCATTGCCTGCATGTAACTTAGTTTGGTTATTCATTCACATATTAAAAGTCATCTTGGCTGCTTCCAACTTTTGCAAGTTATGAATAAAGCTTCTTTATTGTGTGCAGGTTTTTGTATGGGTATACCCTTTCTACTTATTTAGGTAAGTACCAAAAAGCATGATTGCTGGATCATGTGGTAAAAGTATGTTTAGTTTTGTAAGAAACTGTCAAACTGTCTCCCAAAATGGCTGTACCATTTTGCATTCCTACCAGGAACGATTGAGAGTTCTTGTTGCTCCACATCCTCACCAGCATTTGGTGGTGTCAGTGCTTTGGATTTTGGCCATTCTGATGGGTGCGTAGAAGCATCTCATTGCTTTAACCTGCAGTTTCCTAATGACCTGACATGTTCAGCACCATTTCATGTGCTTATTTGTCATCTATATATCTTCAGTGAGGTTATCTATTCAGAGGTTTTTGCCCATTGTTTTTCATCTGGTTCATTTTCTTATTGTCGGGTTTTAAGAATTCTTTTATATTTTGAATGGTAGCCTTTTATTGGATAAGTATTTTGCAAATATTTTTCCCAGACTGACTTGTTTTCTCATGCTCTTAATTAATTTGTATATTTAGATTATTGCTGTTGCCATAGATGGATTAAAATCTGTGTTTGTTTTCATCTCCCTTTTTTATGTGTTATATAAGTAATGATCAACAAGCTCTTAAGGCTATATTGTTACTATTGCAATCTTTTTAATTTTTTTTAACGTTTATTTATTTTTGAGACAGAGAGAGACAGAGCATGAATGGGGGAGGGTCAGAGAGAGGGAGATACAGAATCTGAAACAGGCTCCAGGTTCTGAGCTGTCAGCACAGAGCCCGACACGGGGCTCGAACTCACGGACCGTGAGATCATGACCTGAGCTGAAGTCGGCCGCTTAACCGACTGAGCCACCCAGGCACCCTACTATTGCAATCTTTTTAAATAATGGAGTATACTTAACATAAAATGTTAGTTTCAGGTGTACAACATAATGATTTGACAATTATATACATGACAAAATGCTCACTAGCGTGAGTGTAGTCCCCATCTGTCACTATTCAAAGTTATTTCAATATTACTGACTATATTCCCTATGCTGTACTTTCCTCCCCTGTGATTTTTTTAATATAAGTGAAAGTTTGTACCTCTTAATACCCCTAAATCCTCTTATTTTGTCTATCTCCCCACCCTCACCCCTCTGACAACCACCAGTTTGTTCTCTATGTCTGTTTCTGTTTGTTTTGTTTTTTAGACTCTATATATAAGAGAATTTTATGTGTCTTATTTCATTTAGCACAGATATTTTTTATGGCTGAGTAATATTCCATTGTGTGTGTGTGTGTGTGTGTGTGTGTGTGTGTGTGTGTGTACCTGTGTGTGTATACATATATACACTATATCTTTATCCATTCACCTTCCGATGGACACTTGGGTTACTTCCATATCTTGGCTATTGTAAATAATGTTTCAGTGAACATAGAGGTGAATATATCTTTTTTTTTTTAAAGTTTATTTCTTGATCCAAGGTTTTTGGTTTTTTTACGTTCATATATTTTGAGATAGAGAGAGACAGAACCAGCAGGGGAGGGGCAGAGTGAGAGGGAGACGGGATCCAAAGTAAGCTCCCTGCTGATAGCAGAGAGCCTGATGCAGGGCTCAAACTCATGAACCATGAGATCATGACCTGAGCCAAAGTCAGATGCTTAACTGACTGAGCCACACAGGTGCCCCACACGTAGATCTTTTCCAATTAGTGTTTCCATTTTCTTTGGTATGGTAATTTTATTTATTTATTTTTAAAAGTTTTTTTTTACATTTTTAATTTTTATTTTTGAGATACAGAGTGTGAGTGGGGGCAGGGCAGAGAGAGAGGGAGACAATCTGAAGCAGACTCCAGGCTCCTAACTGTCAGCACAGAGCCCGATGTGGGGCTTGAACTCATGAACTGTGAAATCATGACCTGAGCTGAAGTCGGACACTCAACTGACTGAGCCAGCCAGGCACCCCATGGTAATTTTATTTTTAATTTTTTGAGGAAACTTCATACTCTTCCATAGTGGCTGCATCAATTTACATTTCTACCAACAGGACACACTTAATTAGAATAGTCAAAATCCAAAGCACTATATAATCCAGTATACCCTCAAACAAAATACTGATTTAACAAGCTGAACTCAACAGCATATTAAAAGGATTATACCCTATCAAGTGGGATTTATCCCTGCAATATAAGGGTGGCTCAACATAAAAATCAATGTAATATACCTATTAATAGAATAAAGAAAACACTAAGATGAAAAAGGCATTTAACAAAGTCTAACACCCCTTTACGATGAAAACATTCAATAAGGCAAGACATAGAAGGAAACCTCAATATAACAGGTCATATAGGAAAAGCCCATAATTAATATACTCAGTGATAGAGGGCTTAGGTTTTTCTTCTAAAGTTAGGAACAAGAATGCCCATTTTCACCACTTTAATTCAATGTGGTACTGGACAATTTAGCCAGAGAAATCAGACAAGAAAAAAAAAATCCTCTAGATTTATTAGAATAAAGTCATATGCATTGGAAAGGCAGAGGTAAAACTATGCACAGGTGACATATTACATAGAAAACTCAACTTCCCTCAAAAAACTCCTAAAGCTAATTAACAAATTCAGCAAAATTTCAAAATATAAAAATCCTCATAAGGTATCAGTTGTATTCTTATGTATCAGCAGTGCTGATCTGAAAATGAAGTTAAAATGATTCCATTTACATTAGTATCAAAAATAGTACGAACTGGGGTGTCTGGCTGGGTCAGCCAGTAGAGCATGCGACTCAGTCTACGGGCTGTGAGTTCAAGCTCCACGTTGGGTGTGGAGATTACTTAAAATCTTGGGGTGCCTGGGTGGCTCAGTTGGTTAAGCACCTGACTCAGGTCATGAACTCACGGTTCGTGAGTTTAAGCCCCATGTCAGGCTCTGTGCTTACGGCACAGAGCCTGCTTGGGATTCTCTCCATCTCTGTCTGCCCCTCCCCTGCTTGCTCTCTCTTTCAAAATAAATAAATAAATAAACTTAAAAATAAAATAAAATCTTTAAAAAAATAAATAGTACAAACAAAGGGATAAACTTAAGAAAGTATAAGACTTGTACATTGAAGACTGCAAAACATTGCTAACCTTACTTTTCCCTCTTAGTTCATTAATGTGGTAAAATACACTGATCAATTTCAAATGTAGAAACACTTGTAGTTTTCTATTGCTAGCTTATAATGATACATTTTGTTATTACATTTTATATTTGCTATTACATTTTATATTACATTATATATTTTATTTGAAAACTTTTGCTCTAAAAAAAAGTTGAAAGAATAGAAACAATTCACTATTTGTTAGTATTTTTGCCACATTTGATAAAAGTTCTTTTCATTTGTTTTTGACTAGTTACTCTGCCAGATTAAGTAAGCAGACACACTCTTGCCCCTAAACACTTCAGCATGCGACTTCTGAAAATAAGGACATTCTTTTAATCACAGTACCATTATCAAACCTAAGAAACAGTCATTACATAATAACATAAAATATCTAGTTTGTATTCAAATATGCTTAGTTTTCCCCAAAATACGTTTTGTACTTGTCTTTTAAAAATCCAGGATTCAGGGGCGCCTGGGTGGCGTAGTTGGTTAAGCGTCCGACTTCAGCCAGGTCACGATCTCGCGGTCCGTGGGTTCGAGCCCCGCGTCAGGCTCTGGGCTGATGGCTCAGAGCCTGGAGCCTGTTTCCGATTCTGTGTCTCCCTCTCTCTCTGCCCCTCCCCCGTTCATGCTCTGTCTCTCTCTGTCCCAGAAATAAATAAAAGTTGAAAAAAAAAATTAAAAAAAAAAATCCAGGGTTCAGGGGCACCTGAGTGGCTCAGTTGGTTAAGCAGCCAACTCTTGATTTCTGCTCAGACTGGTGCGTTTGAGCCCCATGTCATGTTGCATGCTGATAGTGCAGAACCTGCCTGGAATTTTTTCTCTGCCCCTACCTGCTCATTCTCTCTCTCAAAATAAATAAATAAACTTAAAAAAAAAAAAAAAGTCCAGGATTCATGGGGCTCACCTGGCTGGCTCAGTCAGAAGAGCATGCAACTCTTGATCTCGAGGTTGTGAGTTCAAGCTCTAGATGGGGTGTAGAGATTACTTAAATAAATAAAATTAAAAAAAATAGAAATCCAGGATTCAATTGAGTTTCAAGTATTTAAAACAATTTTTTTAATGTTTTATTTATTTTTGAGACAGAGAGACACAGAGCATGAGCAGGGGAGGGGCAGAGAGAGAGGGAGACACAGAA